TGTGCACTGTATAGGATTGGATTTTTGTTTTATATTGTGCACTTCTCCACATGGCCAAAATTTACAGCTCTCAGTACATTTGAGGGCATGTGGTTAACCCTTTGACTGTTTCGGTCGTATATATACATCTTACGAGCCACCGTTTTTGATGTATATATACTCAAATTCTAGCGGCTTCAAATCAAGCAGGAGAAAGCTGGTAGGCCCACATGTGAGAGAATGGGTCTGTGTGGTCAGTGTGCACCATATAAAAAAAAAATCCTGCAGCACGCAGTGCATGAGAAAAAAAATCCGACTTTTTTTTTTTTTTATTAAAATGCTGAATTTGTGGTCTATTCTCGTATAGTATTTATGGTTGTAGTCTCGTTTTCTTGGTCTCATTTGATAGAATGGAAAACTTATTATAGAAATAGAGGTGATTTTGGTTGGTTTTATTATGAAAAGAACCTTGAAATGGCACTCATAATAGGGAAAATGTTTGATTTTTGCCGATGTTCAAAAGTAAACAAATGATGTCTTTTTCCAATAAATGTCCAAGTAGCCATTCAAATATGCAGTCGTGAATGGGTTGACATTATTTATACAATTACAATATTGCAGTAGTCTGCATAACAGTAAATCTTATTTTTTGTTTGAATAAAAATTCAGAATAGAAAGCAAGAGTAATATCAGAGGGGCCTGGAGATGTGACTGATGAACATAGCATATGTTATTTTAGAGGCAGGAATGTCTGCATTGTTCATCCTGGATCCTATTTTGAAATTGTCATATTTTTTAATTTTTGTGAAATTGGCCAAATTGCAAATTTCTGACCACATTATTGGGTAGTTGAAATTGGTAAATGGGCAGTTTCTTGTACTCAATCAATAGAAAAAACGGCGTTCTAAAGAAATAGCTATCAGTTTGGTCGACTGGAACAATGGAATTAGCCGAAAATAGGACTCAGTGGGCAAAATCGCCAATTCGTAAATATCGCCGAGGTCGCTAATTTCATGAGAGTGTAATCCCGTCAGTTTTCTACCAAATTTCATTCTTTTGGTGTCATTACAATCGGGAAAAGATTCTCTATCGTTTAAGATTTTTTTTTTTTTTTTGAAACTTTGCGACACCAGGAGACACTTCAGGATTTGGGGTTGCGACAGTAAAGGGGTTAAAATGCATATCAACGTGAGCAACACTGGTTAGTGACATAGATCTACACTGGAGACACTGAAAGGGCTATTATTATTAATCTTTTTTTGTGTTATGGAATTTAGATGTGTATTTGAGAAGTGTGAATGTGAGTTTTAGACATGCAAGATGAGCTGGGAGTGTGGGTGCAGGTTTGAGCAATGAACTGATTCACCAGTGATGATATACATCCTTATTTATGGATTCATGTATTTCTTTTCCTCTTCCAAATACATTTGATTCCAGAAGGTAAATTAAACCTCATTTTACTGCAAAAATGAAAGGATTTATGCGTTTTGTACATACATTACACAAATACAAAAAGAATGAACATTTTGTACACAATACCATTTACAAACAGAGTGGTATTAACATTTTTATCAAGAAAAAACTTACACTTAACTAGGAAATGGAGGACGCACTGACCAGCCTCCTCCATGATGGAGCAGAAGAGTGTACATGTGGAGTCTCAGCAAGCTATGTACAATATAAATAATAAAAAAATTGACAAGCACAATGTTCACATCATGATGGGATTTAAGCATTATTTAATACAGGGATAGTGGATAGAAAAAACAAGTAAAATAAAAACACACTAGGATCAAATTACAAACTTTATCAAAAGGGAAAACAGGTTCTCAACATATTTTCTAGCCAATAAAGGTACACAATGGTATAGAAATGATGGAACCTTCACACTTTATATACATCTAAATAAAATATTTAGTTATTATTATTATTATTGTTATTATTATGGACATTAAGTTATCTAACATAACTCTTTAGCTGTATAGTCAATTGTCCACTAGAAAAATCAGCACAATTCTGAGCAACAGAATGATTGTACACTATAAAATGTATAATTTGTGAGGGAACTTGAATACATATTCATGGCTCATCCCAAATATAAACGTATATAAAAAACGTTGGATTCTGACATTGCATGTATGCCAGAAATTTAATTCAATGTTTAAAAAATAATTATTTTTTAATATAAAATATAATTCAAAGTACTGCCTACAAGAATTTTATATTTGCTTAAACATGTTATTAAAATTTAACAAATATTAAGTGAGTATTCTCCTGTAATTATATAACACTTAAGTGTCAAATTTATGATCATCAAATAAATTTTTAAGTGATGAAACATAAAACTGAAACTTGCATAAAGATTTCTACACTTCTTATAGAGCAAGAACAATTAAATACCACCATTAACAGAAAATGATGGTTAAGCAGTCTTTCCCCAAACCGGGAATACAAACACACTACAGTGAGATAAGCTACTCGCAAGTACAGAAGGTGTGGGTTCTGCCTTCCTCGGCTTTTTTTTTTTTCCACAAGATGCTGCCTACATATCTATGCTAGTTTTCACTTTGGGAACTAAAATGCATAGTTTTGTCTTGTGACAATGTCATTGTTCCACAAGTTTAGGACTTTCATCATTTTCACTTCGACTTGCATGATTTAAAGTCAGGATTTTCAGAACAAATACTACTCCACCAATTTCAATATATTACAATGGCTGAATTTCTTTCTTCTGTGCTATAATCCCTGGTACAGGCAAGCAGTAAAAAGTGCAAAACATCCAGAAACAAACCATTTGCTGCTCTTTTGAAAACACACTACACTTGAACAAAACCACTTTATATAGCACTCTGGTAATTGTTGTCAATCTGCTCTTATGGACAGACCCACACCCATAATGAACACAGCTAATGGATCCATATTTGTGAATTATCTATATTAAAAAAAAGTAAATAAAAATGACTTCTTTGGGTTGGGAATGTATTATCAATAAGAGAACATGTAGCTTTACAGGAGAAATTTCATTTACACAAGTAACATATTTTCCCTTTAGTAGAAATGCTAACAATGCTATGGGATTATTGTGATGGACAGCATGCTGGTTCCTCTTCACTGGCCACCAGTTTTTATCTTGAGTAGAAACTATCACCAAGGAGCCCATTTAATATTTCAACTTAAAATTTTTGATCTAGCAAGAAGTGATACTAGTCTATGTGTATTAGAAGTTTAAGAACACCATTTGTCTATTTATACAAACAATTCTTCATAACTTCTAATGAGGGATTAAAAAATTAGGAAACTGGGAAATCACAAAATTACTTATGACAAATATTTACATGTTTGCGCAGGACAAGCTTCAAGAAATAGACAGTGTCCACCAAAAGCGTATCAATAGGTGTGACCCCTACAATGGAGTGCTAAAATTTATGAGTGACTAACTTCTAATGATACTGAAGAAGAATGGGGTAGATGAGAATGAAGCTATGCTTCATACTAATTAGAAGGGGAATTTTATTTTGTGTGTGTTGTATACATGTTATTTATTTATAGATACAGGAGCAGAGCTAAGCTCGCTTCTCTCTTTTTCTCTCTCTTGTGTGCGAGTGTGCATGCATGTGTGTGTGTGCACATGCATGCATGCATGTGTGTGTGTGCAATGTGTGCATGTGTGTGCAATGTGTGCATGTGTGTGCGTGTGTGTGTGCATGTGTGTGGTGTGTGTGTGTGTGTGTGTGTGTGTGTGTGTGTGTTGTGTGTGTGTGTGTGTGCACACGTGTGTGTGTGTGTGTGTGGTGTGTGTGTGTGTGTGTGCATGTGTGTGTGTGCATGTGTGTGTGTGCATGTGTGTGTGTGCATGTGTGTGTGTGCGTGTGCGTGCGCGCATGTGTGTACTCACCTAATTGTGGTTGCAGGGGTCGAGACTCAGCTTTCTCTCTCTCTCTCTCTCTTGTGTGTGAGTGTGCGTGCATGTGTGTGTGTGCACATGCATGCATGTGTGCTTGTGCAATGTGTGCATGTGTGTGTGTGCATGTGTGTTGTGTGTGTGTTGTGCATGTGTGTGTGTGTGGTGTGCATGTGTGTGTGTGTGCATGTGTGTGTGTGTGCATGTGTATGTGCATGTGCATGTGTGTTGTGTGTGTGCGCATGTACTCACCTAATTGTGGTTGCAAGGGTCGAGACACAGCTCCTGGCCCTGCCTCTTTACTGATCGCTGTGTGCGCGCGTGCATGTGTGCATGTGTTACCATTTTGTCTTAGGCACATGTTGATTAGACACTAGGCCTGTTGTGTGTGCGTATGTGTTAGTTACCATTTTGTCTTAGGCACATGTCGATTAGACACTAGGCCTGTTGTGAGTGTTTGTGTGTGTGTTTGTGTGTATGCATGTGCATGCATGTGTGTGTGTGGGGGCACATGTGCGCAATTTAGGGTTATAACTTTTTTACGTAATATTCATGTACCTTAATCAGATGAACTTTTGCCTAAAAGCAAAGAAATGACCTTTCATTTCAACATCTTTTTAGAAAATGTCGCCCCTAAATGAAAAAAAAACAAGTAACGAGAACAAATACTGTAACTTGAATGCATATATCATGTAATATTAATAACAAATAAAACGGTTTACAGCATCATTATCATCATGTTTGTACATATATTACTACTTATTGCTTAGACAAAAACCAAAGTTGCAGTTAGCTTTTGTTTCTGCAGGCAGCATACAGTTCCTGCATAACTTTGATTGCATGTTCAACACACTGATTACTTCTTGGTATATTGAGTGTGGATGGCTCCTGCTTCCAGTGATTTTTCTACAAGTTCAGTGCTTTTTGTAAGGTTTCAATATTTCTGACAAATTCTTGAAGTCATTTTCATCGTACATCTGATCAGTACACCAATAATCTGCCCAGGTGTAAGAAATGAATCTGCATATCTTCTCCATAGTCTTCCATCTTGTAGGTATAAAAATGAATGCAAGAATAGCTAGAATGGCTTTTAAATTCTACCTCACATTGCTGTTTGGAATTTTCTGAAAGTTAATCAAAGGAAAGTACCTTTTTTCTTCTAAGAATCTAAACACTCGTGTTAGATGGTACAAAAACTTCATATCTCTCTATCCTGATTTATGGAGGATCTCTTCTGTTCCACTAACAAACTGTGCCTTTAGTTCCTCATAATTCTTCACCAGTTGGAATACAAATGGATACTTGATATTTGGAGAACTGGTTTTCGCACCAAGATTTTCATCCATTACCAAACGGAGAATCCTGTCCAGAACGTGATGCTGACAACTGAAAAATTGTGGTTTGCTAATCTCATTCTCTGAGAACATTCATTGCAGTTTGACAACAGCTCCACTCTTTTTCCCTGTGTTAACGTATGTTGTATCAGCAATGATCGTCTTTATTGCACTCCATAAGCTGTATTCATCAATAACTTTTGCCATTCCTTCAAAAATAGTTTCAGCCTTGCCATCTTTCAAATGCAGTGCATCCAGTTTTACTTCGGTTCTTTCATTTCTACTCATTTTCCTCAGTGTGCTTTCCATCGAAAGTAAAGACCATTCTTCCATTTGTACCTTTTCAATCACTTCCTCCTTCAATTTAGCAGCGTCTTTGTATGTTGACTTGTAAATTGCTGCTTGACTTGGTGTAGGAATGTCAATGCCATCAAATGACAATTGTTTGCACATCTTGGCAGCTTCACTTGGTGATAGTTTTGTGGCTGTCACCAAACTGGTTGCAACTTTACTTTTGTTGTGTTTTTTGGTTGGCAGAGTAGTACTTTCATCTTCATCTTCATACTTGCTCCCTTCAGATTCAGTACCACTGTCACTCAATGCATGATAGTAAGATGTTGATGCTGAAGCTGATTCAGCAGGTAGTTTCCATCTTTTTGAAGGATGAATAGTTTTTTCACTTGCAACTTGACCTGTTGAGTACCCCACTTCTTTGCTTTCCACTTGAAGCTGGTACAGCTGTTTGTCTTCAGAGAATAACTATTGGCCATTTCCTTTTGTGATATCAAAAATTTCATTCAGGGCATCATATTTTCCCCTCCTGACACAGTCATCATGTCTTCTTCACCTTGTCAAGCTTTGCTCATATTACTTGATCTGACACGTGGAAAATTCAATTTATTCCCCTATAATTTTGTAACTTTTTTGGAAATTTTCGCTATTCACTCCTTTCTTTCTTTGATTTCTACTTCAAGAAACTGGTACCGTCCAATGATTTGGATTTCGAGAGGCATTCTCCATTTTTCTTCTAGTGAAAGATTCTTCTAAAGGCACAATTCCTCTTCTCCTATGTGACTTCTGGAATCCCACCAAATTATTGGTCCAGATATCTTTGTTCTTCTTTATGGAGGTATCACTTTTCTTGTGTGACATTATAATTAATTCTGAATTTCTGAAACAGATATAATGGCAATAAGTTGATTTATTTGTTCATAAAGCTTTTTATATATACATGTCTATATATACTGTACCAGGATTTGGATTGTTCTACAAACCTCTATACCATTTCAGAAATTTCTTAACAGTTCTAGAAACTGGAAAAGTTTACAGTGACATGAATGTCAAATATTGACAAGAAAACCCACACAGTTAGGCTATTCCTGTAAATATATTGTCAGACAAGCAGTGCTCACTGATACACTCCTCTGTGAAATACAATATGCTAATTAGTAATTTTCTGAGTTGCTACTTATGATTAGTAACGTAAATATGTGATTAATATTTTCCATTAATTTGAGTTGCCAATTAGTACTTTCCTGAGTGGCTATTTATGAGTAGTAATGCAGATATATGGTGAGTCATAGTTTTTTATTTAGGGGTGACCTTTTTCGAAAACTGAGAGGAATTCGGGACTTTTTCATTGTTTTTAAACAAAAGTTCATTGATTTATGACAGATTTTATTTGGAAAAAAAGTAAAAAAGTTATAACCCTCATGTACACATGCACACACACATGCATGTGTGCATATTTGCATGCACGCACAGAGAATCATACACAAATGCTGTACCTATTTTTGGTATGTGTGCATGTGAATATCTATTTGTGATGTGCACGTGTGGCATAACCTATTTGTGATTTTCAGGCATGTGTATGCACACAGCCAAAAAGAGACATATGAAGGAAAGACTGCATCACACTCCAGGGATGCCTAACATACGTGGGCTAACACCAGTTTAAAAGCATTCAGGTACAAATGATCATTGTGACCTCGTTGCTATGATTTGATGCAAGACATGCATCAAATCAAGCTACCGATGACCACCGAGAAATCTTTCCAGTGGTATGCAGTCCAATAAGTGTGAAATGGAAATGTATGGCACTAACATCCCATAAAAAAAAATTGTGCTGTAAGAGCTCATATAAGTGAGCAAGTCTTCCAGAGTATAAAAATATTTTGAAATATTAAAAGGAACATTAAAACTATAACACTTAATGCTTACACTGTGGAAAGAGGTCAAGACTCTCCAAGGACCACTGTTTGCCATAGCCAGCAGTCATATCCTCCTTGAATTATAGAAAGCCACACCTTTAGTTCTGGAAGATAATCTGCTCAGAAGACCTGCATTTAGGCCTTAAATGTGCTGTACAGAACACCACTGCTGGGAATATAGCTGCTTAATTATCTACTGCAGTCCTATTGCTACCGGGAAGTATGGATAATGCTCTTGATGCCACTGTCACTACTAAACTCATTTGTAACCACCACAGCTGAAGTTTTGAGATTTTACACATTAATGCCTGAAAATTTCTGCAACTGTCTACACTGCAGAAAAACAACCATTAGTCTGTTGTTCCTTCTACTGTACAGTACCAGTACTAGAACCTCGAGTAGCTCTAGCAGATGATCGTCTACCACTTCCAGACCCACTTTTTTTCTGTTCCCCTCCCCCACAACATGAGCATTTCTTTTTCTTGGCATGGTCACGAGAGGATGAACGTCTAGTATTTATGCCACCGGGAGAAAAGTCGTGCATGTGCATTACTGGAGGACTCCCATCTCGACTACTGGCGCTGCTTTCTCGACTGTGAGGCCGCCGTCTTCTGCTCCCACTTATACTTGGAGAATCACGTGGCCCTGGTGTAACTGCACGTTCCATGCTATAGTTACTACTTGTGTCTGATGTACCACTAACATGACGACCTCTAAGTCCCCTTGATAACGTACAGTCCTCATCCAAATGATTTAGCACTTCCTCTTCCACAGACAATACATACCCATCACTACGACTCCGCCCAGATCTAGTGCCCCGGCCACGCTTTACTTCTCCAAGACAATCCCCTTCACTTCTCCTTTTAGCTCCACGTGTTGTTCTACCAACACCCTCTTCACAGCTTTCTTTGAGATCTTTGTCAATCTTCATAAAAAGTTTATCATCTTTAATTTCAGCATCAATTACTCCAGCATCCTCCTCTTCCTTTACACCTGCTTCAGATTTCAGGGATTTTGAACGACTGCGGCATGTTGAACTCTGGATTATGGTACTGGGAGATGATGCAATAGAACGCTGAGAGCTTCTACGTTTACTTCTACTAGTATTACTGCTGCTATTTTCAGCTTTTATATCTGGGAGGTCTGAGTCCTGATCATGACCATTCTTGGTTGGAATTTCATCACCAGTTAATTCATTTTCACTTGCCAAATTGTTTTTTTTTCTATCTGATGCACATGCTACTCGTTGACTTCGTTTTCGGTTATTACCTTCTTGAGGAGTAGAATTACTGTTTATTATATCAACCATTCCATCTGGTTTATTTTGCATAGTTGTCTTCCTTTCTCTACTTGTACTTTTGTTGGCAACAACCTCTGCAACAATTTTAACATCATCCAACTCTTGCTCTTTGATTGGTATATGCTTCCCCTTCTCTCTACTTTTGGACTGTGAGGCATGGGCTGTGGTTTTTGACCTACTTTGATTAATATCAGAAGGACCTGCGGCTTCCTCATTTTTTACTGCTGGCTGATCTTCTTTAGGATGTTCATTTGTAAGCACACGAGGTTGTTTAACCACTGTCTTGTTATGGGTCCCAACCGTATTGTCAAATCTCCACGGTGTATCTTGTGCTGCTTGATTTACTACAATGTTTCCGGATGACTGTGTACCATGAGAAGTTATCCCACTTAAAGTAGCTACAGGTAGTTCTAACTCAGTAGGTGATCTAGTAGATGTAATTGTGTGGTCCTGTTCACTCTCTCTTGGATGCAAATCTATGGTTATCTCCTGTTCCTCCGACTCCTCCTCTTGGTGATGTAAGTGCTGCTGCTGGTTACTTGAAGCCCCTCCTGGTGTAGCACTTCGCATATCTTCACTTGTACTTGATGATACACTAACACCATCTCCTTCTATTGAAAAGAGACCAGGGAAGCCTGTGGATGAGTCACATAATGAATCTTCACTATGGTTAACATCAAGAGGAATGTTGGCTGTGAGTGCATCATTAAGTGAGGGTGATTGTGCCATCATGGAGTCAGCAGATCTGGGAGACCAAGTCAAGAGTGGACCAGAAGATACTAAATCACTTAGGGCTGGTGAATTTGTTCTTACTTCCATGCCTGTTACAAGAGGTAATGTTCCAGATTCCAAACTCTCCAAGCCCAATCCTGTACCTGACTGATGAAGGTAAACATCACCAGATGGGGATGCCAGTACTCCCAGTTGTGCATCCCCTTCTGGGGAAACACCTGTGACAGATAATCCTGGTGCTGACGGAGCAGAAGAATACCCAGGACGAGACAGAGTGGTTGAGAAGTTGTCATCAGAAGTTGGAGGGGCTTCAGTAAATGGTAGGTCATGTGTTGTCCCTGGTGACGAGTATGAAGAACCAGAGTGCTGTGACTGAGAGACTGATGGAGAGAGTGCTGCCTCTGTCATGTAAGCACTTTGTAGCTGTTTTGTTAAGGTGGCTGGACTTGGAGGGATCTGCACTTCTTCTATACCTGTAAAAATAAACTAGTTACCATTTACACAATGGACAAAATAGGGCATCAAGTAGACTTTCACATATATATTCACAGAATGGGGCGAGTGTTAAACCATGAAGGGTTACACAGCACCTGGGAATGTGGGAGGCATTCAGGTTTGATCCAAGGAAGTGGAAGGCAGGTTCAATTCCTTGGATCAAGAGCCCCTCAACTGCTTCAAGGAACCTCCCTTGAGGGAACACATTATAATAGTAAACATTACCTTGAAAAAATATTATCCTCAATAAACCTAAATAATTAAAATTATTTGATCTTATTCTGGCATACTGTATTTTCACCAATACTCCATTTTAAATGAGAATGAAAATCCAGAAAATCATAAGAATCAGAATTTCATAGTATGGATATCAATATATTGATTAATTTAATGAAAATACTAACAAAATAATAGATCGCAAAGAAATTAGTGTTTCTGAGATAGTGTCTGGAGTATCAACCAATCTAACTCTGCCTCTGTGGAAGACACATGCCTTCACTGGCACACTTCTAGTGTATCAGTGTAGGTGCCTCAGCACATCTCAAACTAATATGATAAAAATATGTATGCAGTACTGTATATTTCAGTACAGTACTACAATTCAAGACTCCATATCTGAAATGTCAAAAATATTTTACTACATTAACATTTAATGCAGAATTCTGCTACAGAACTTGGTGCATATATTGACAAGAAAACGAAAGAGAAGTGCCACTTGTGTTCACTAGTGTGGCAAACATGTATAATTTTATTAAAATAACCCATATGTGACAATGTTTGGTCAGTGGTGACTCCTTATATTTTGCCCCACAAGCTGTATTCTCAAATAAATAACAAAAAAGGCACAATACCGTGACTGGAACGATACACAAATAACCCGCACATAAAAGAGAGAAGCTTACAACGACGTTTCGGTCCGACTTGGACCACTGACAGTGACTTTGTCAATGGTCCAAGTCGGACCGAAACGTCGCCGTAAGCTTCTCTCTTTTATGTGCGGGTTATTTGTGTACTGTATTCTCAATGTAGCCTGCTATCACTTTTTTATTTCCATTACATAGACCTTATCCATATTAATAAAAATATATATGTAAAAACTCCAGACCTGACAGAAGTCTCACTCCCAGGCAAATGTGCCAGTGTAAGAAATTTTCTGATGTGATGGAATTTTTCAATTATTAGACTGTATTCACAAAGTGTGCCCAACTAATAGGGTTGAAAAGTACCACAAGGCTGAGGAAAGCATCAGCAAATGGGAGCAGAGTGACGAATGAACATCTTAGCTAACAAGGAAAGCTAAAGTTAGCTTAAGTCATTTTCAATAAAAAATCATGGTGTGAGTATTCACTGAAAGAATATCTTTCTGAAAGGAGAGCAGGCAAGGTGAGAGCACCCAGGTGCTGAAAAATACTAAAATGAATCCTACATGCTTTTTCATAAATGGTACAGTAACAGAACTTGACAGGTTGCAGAGAAAGGTGTCAGATACAACTCCATGTTGATAAATAAGATACTTGTGCAACAAGTGTCTCATTTATCAACATTTTGCCAGCCAGTGACTTCACCAGTCCAATACAAAAAAGAATGGAGGGAGATGAGAAAGGGCTTGAGGTAATCAGTCCCTCAGCCTGGAGACAATGCATTCAGTCCCTCAGCCCAGAGATGATGTATTCAGTACATCATGTGTTCAGCTTCATTCATGAACTTCTTGGTTTTCTAAACCATTTAATACTACTCCAATGGATAGCTATGCGAGAGTTTTGTATGATTAATACGCAATCATGCAGGAGCTTTCTCAATGTGTTAGGGATGAAAGGAAAACAACCAAGAAAGATACATCATAAAATACACTTGGAAAATCCTAGAGGGACTAGTCCCAAATCTGCATATGGAAATCACTCCCAATAAAAGCAATACTGCAGGTGGTGCAACACATCCTCCCATTGAAAAGCAGGGGTGCCATGAGTACACTAAGAGACAACACAATAAGTGTCAGGGGCCCAAGATTATTCAACTGCTTCCCAGCATACATAAGGGAGATTACCAATAGACCCCTAGCTGTCCTCATGAGGAAGCTGGACAGGTATCTAAAATCAGTACCTGACCAGCCGGGGTGTGGTTCATACATTTGTTTGTGCATGGCCAGCAGTAACAGCTTAGTTGATCAGGCCCTGATCCACTGCGAGGCCAGGTAATGGACAGGGCCTCCAGGGCGTTGACCCCTGAAACACCATCCAGGTATACTCCAGATAAGAACCCAACTGTGGTTTGATCATAAGCAGCTTACTGCCCTCTAACCTGGATACCTGAGTACATTTGTGGTATCTCCTTTTTTTGTAATGTTTTCATTGTGCGTAATCTTATCTATTTTCCCTTTGCTGTTATGATGTACTATCCCTTCACTATGGAATTTTAAATTACCTCTGTGTTCATCACAATTATTAATTTTCATCTACATATTTCTCAACAATCTTCATTTTGCACATTTCTACCTTTCATTTGGTTATTTCTTCAATGTTGTGTCATTTCGGTCTTAGCACTATTCCTCTAGCTACAAATAAGTACATAATTATAAGACATCCTGGCTGGAAGGAAAGGAACAAGTTTGAGAATAACGTTCAAAATTATAAATAAGTGAGCAATAATGAGCACTGATGAATCCTTTACCTTAGCCTGGAGTGTGCAAAGATGCAAGAATTTCTGAAGGATGAGTAAACTTTAGCACTGATTAAATATGAATATCCTGCTAAGAATGAAAACAGGTTGAAATTGAAAAAGTAATACCTGCAATTTCTCTGTTAAAGCATATTCCTCCTGATCTTAAAGAAATTACAGATGGCTTGAACTAATGTTCTTTACAAGTATCAGGAAAAACTAACACAAGCTCTACCAGAAATGTGGAATGCTGTGGGAACATGGAAAGTGATCAAGAAGCATAGGATCAATGGAAGGGACTTCTAATGCTTCATTCAGCCATGAATACAGAAGGTTGCCCAACATAACCTGGAGCACCTTAACCAAAAAAATTTAAATCCTTTTGAAGCTGAAAAGGACCAAGAGAATCTTACCTACTCACTCTTACTGGTAAGATCTCTAAATAAAGGGAAATGAAAACTTGAATCACTTGCGATGGGGTCCATTCCATTCAACCATGACAGTGACCAGCTCTTCCACTGACTTCCTGATAATTATGACCATGACCCATGATAATTTTGCTACCAGAAAAGTACATCACTTTCTTACAACGTAAAGGTTGAGAACTATGATTCTGAACTACATTATTGTCTATATGGTGATGTGTAGTAGCCAGGAGAGGACGTGTCAAGATGGACACAGGCTATCATCTTCAACACTGAGCATGACATCATATGGCTATTAAGTGCCTCCATCCAAACAGAATTTACAAAGATATGAAGTACAAGCACTGCAACATACAAAGAGCAGGAAATTGCAATGCAGCAGCAGAAAAACAGGATCCTACAGCCTAACCAAATTTATCTGTAACATCTTAAAAGTAAGTAGGCATGTGTTATGCGGTGGGTCTATGAAAGATGAGGTGAATCATAGAACTGATGAGGGGAAAAGGGTGAGTGGTGCACTTAGGAGTCTGTGGAGACAAAGAACTTTGTCCTTGGAGGCAAAGAGGGGAATGTATGAGAGTATAGTTTTACCAACGCTCTTATATGGGTGTGAAGCATGGGTGATGAATGTTGCAGCGAGGAGAAGGCTGGAGGCAGTGGAGATGTCATGTCTGAGGGCAATGTGTGGTGTGAATATAATGCAGAGAATTCGTAGTTTGGAAGTTAGGAGGAGGTGCGGGATTACCAAAACTGTTGTCCAGAGGGCTGAGGAAGGGTTGTTGAGGTGGTTCGGACATGTAGAGAGAATGGAGCGAAACAGAGTGACTTCAAGAGTGCATCAGTCTGTAGTGGAAGGAAGGCGGGGTAGGGGTCGGCCTAGGGAAGGTTGGAGGGAGGGGGTAAAGGAGGTTTTGTGTGTGAGGGGCTTGGACTTCCAGCAGGCATGCGTGAGCGTGTTTGATAGGAGTGAATGGAGACAAATGGTTTTTAATACTTGACGTGCTGTTGGAGTGTGAGCAAAGTAACATTTATGAAGGGGTTCAGGGAAACCGGCAGGCCGGACTTGAGTCCTGGAGATGGGAAGTACAGTGCCTGCACTCTGAAGGAGGGGTGTTAATGTTGCAGTTTAAAAACTGTAATGTAAAGCACCCTTCTGGCAAGACAGTGATGGAGTGAATGATGGTTCAAGTTTTTCTTTTTCGGGCCACCCTGCCTTGGTGGGAATAGGCCAGTGATAAAAAAAAAAAAAAAAAAAAAAAATACTGTACTTAACAAGTGGTGAAGTGGTAGACGTGTTTAAGCATTTGTTTACAAACAGATCTTTTATAAGCAAGTAAACAGTCCAAGCAGCAAGGAATGTATAATGTAAGCAAAGGAAGAGTGAAACAAAACTTTAATAAAATAAATATAATTTGCTATTTCAAATCTATGTACAATTTATCTATTTGGTGAAGCTTTAACAATTAATTTACATTAGCATCTCAGGTTGGGGACCTCAAAGATAATCTGTACATAGGAAACGATTTTGCACAATGCAAGACACAAATAACATGCCAATATTAATGATCAATAATTACAATATAACCCCCTTCTCCTGTATAAATTACTAAATGTGAAAAGAAGAAACACTTGTTTCTTCTTTTTCAAGTCTCCTTGCCTCAGTGAGACAGCTGGTGTGTTAAAAAAATTACAATATATCATATGTTGTCCCATAAGGGTAACACTCTGCACAAGTTAAACTTGAGGCCAAAAGGCCATTAAAATGGGTGATGAGTATGAATAAACCACCACCTGCTGAAAGTTAACAGTCTTAAATTCATTTTAATCAGGAAAAACACTAAGCCCAGAGAAGTCATACAGTGCCTGGGAAATGTGAAGCATTCAGATTCGAAACAAGG